TTCCAATTTCCTTTATCTGACTCCTGCTCTCTTTCATATAGTTAATTCATTCATGACTTTTAAAATTCATATTTCACATAACTATGCTGGCAAGTTTGCTCATATTAGACTGATCCCTCTCCCCTACAGTTTTCAGTTACCCATCTGAAGAGATTCCTGAAACTTCCCTCTCTTTTAGAAGCTTTAATTCAATCCAGACCTTTTATAAGAGAACTTTTATGAATATCAATTTTTTCAAACATGAGAAAGCCCCCTTATTATACAGGATTATATTAATTATCATTAGCTGCATGCTTCTTAGCAATTCTGGCACCAGTTTGCAGTACACACCTAAAAAAACTCATAATGCAATGTCTCAAAATTTGCTGCAACAACACTTTCTCAGTGCTGAATGAGGCTTCATAAGAACAATAGCTGCCTTCAAAGTCCAAACATCCCATAATCTGCTCATCTCCAAAATACATCACAGCTTTTGATCTCTGCACAAACCCTGATGTTGTATTAGCTCATCTTTCAAAAGGATGCTCATTTTTGACATCTTGGCTTCACAATTTTAAAAGACGAATGAGTAACAGTTTCACCTAAATTGTCTTAGCAGATGCATTGCTTGTAAATTCACAGCTGTTTTCTAGTTTTGACTTCTAACCCTTAAGTAATACTTAAACGAGAATTGAATAATTTTTTAGACTCCTAAGTCAAGCCCAGAGATGGCCACGAGCACCCTTTGGTGGGCATTTGATACCCAGAATACCCACACAGCATCTTCCTGCTTGCAACAAAACTCCTCTCTCCTGGTGCAATTTTGCTTCTCATCATTGCATCTACTTTCCTTTAAAAGATGGGCAGAAATGGAAGTGAATGAGAACTTGCATCCCAATCTTTACATTGTATCTGAGACACTGCAGTACCCTGAAGAGTGAGGTTTAGGTTCAAAGCCTTCCTCAGCCTGAGAAAATTAAACCTTGGTGTCCCACCACTCATAAAAATGCCCTTTCACCCCTTTCTGGGCCCAGAAATAGGTGAGGAACAGAAGGGTGCTGGTGGTTAAGTCAACTTTTTCCTCTTAGAATAGTCAGAGTTGGGTTGTAGTTTCAAAACACATCAAGAGTTACCAGACTTACCATCAGCTCGTCCTCCAGGTATGTTTTAAAAGAAAGCACTTAAACATGGGCTTGGTTCTCTAGTAGAAAAATAATACCGAGTCCAGGATATTCTGGACTCAAAGTCCAGTGTTGGTGGAGATCCATCCAGCTCCTTATCATCCAGAGACAGTGGAAGATGTCAGACACCATCTGGCCATCAGAGTTTCCCATAACCTTGACCAACAAAATGTACCCCCTTGCTGCATCCCATTTGGGGATCATCACTGTCCCTGTGTAGCACTGAGGAAAGCCAGGCACCTCTCTCTCGGTGCTTGGGGCAGACATCACCCTGGGTAATGGGCTGGCTGTGAGCCTTGTGCTGGCTAACCACTACACCTCTTCTTCCCTTGGGTACAGCTCACAATCACATTACAGGCAACTCTTAACCCTTGGGCAAACAGCACAGTGAGCTTTACTGACATAACGTTGTAACGCATTTTCTAAAATTGAACACATGTTTTCTTATCCTGTTTTCTGGAACCTCTCTTACATTACAGCACATATGCCAAAACACTGTGTTACAGCCTATCAGATAATTTGTAAAACTGTACTAGCTACCTCACTGCTCTCAGACAATCTGCTTGTGTATTTGGGGATTTCTGGTTGCCACAAATACAGCATATTAGAAGCTTTAAGCAACCATTTATCACCTCCTTTTTTAGGTTTGACTTCACACCAGGATGCAACAAAACTCCCATCAGACTTAAAATACCTAGCCTGACAGAAATTTCTACATGAGGCACAGGTCATTAACAAGCTGATAAATTTTCAATTGTTGCAGAAGCCAGCTCATGCTAGCTTTTGAGTTAGCTCCTCAGGCATTGCAGGAGGCTGGTTTGAGAACTGGGATGGCCAGTAGCAGGCAGGGGACCGATACAGCTAAAGAAAGCTCATGAGCCAGTTCAGAAGATATGTTCCAAGTTCCTCCCCAGGTCTTTTGCCTTTTATTCTCCAATTCAGGTATTACATTTCCACTGGTTTCCACCAGGATTGTGCATGCACCTTGACATGTTCACAGAAGTTCCACGATACAGAGTTTCGCAACTGGGACAGGTCCCTACAATCGGGACACCAGGGTGACAAAACAGATTCTGGAGAATTTCCCACTGAATAGGATGGAGAGAACATAATTACCACATCGTAACACTACAATGTCTCATAAACATAGAATAGACTAGACCCATTTACCACAAAAATCACAGAAAATAACTTATCAAAGAATATATATTTTATGTAAAATATACATTTGTAGAATATAATTTTAATACAATTTTTATATTTAATGATGTTGGGTTTGCAACACTTTGAATTAAAAAAAAAAAAACCACAAAATATTCTTGCTGCCAGAGTTTTATTTCTGATAATACTTATAGTTTGAGGTAACAATGAAAGAAGACTGTGTGCTGTGAACAAAGTCAGTGATGTTTGTCTGCAGTCACATGTATGTTATCAAAGTGAAAAGTAAACTTAGGACTTGGCATGTACACTACAATTCATAACAATTTAGGTCATGGCAAACTGAGAAAGCAAGGACTTATGTAAACCTACTCTGTTCAAATTTGTGACTTTTGCAATATATGCCATTAGTATGACAGAAGTCAAGACAGATGTAGTTTACATCACTATCATTATTAAGTGTGTGTCTTTGTATGATCCACAGCACAGCTTACTGCAGGAACCAGGAATAATAAACACAGGGGTGGGGGTCTTTGCATGGAACCTTAGCAATGATGACATGAATTCAGCTTTCCTTGATATAGATAAAAACTGATTTTCCATGCACACACGTTTTATTTACACTGACTCTTCAACAGTGACTAGTCACCCCTTTCTCTGGCAGCAGTAATTATGAGCGGTCTTTCATCTTCTTTAACAAGCTCTGCTTCGCACGCAAAGTCTCAGTGACCTCCTCAAGGTGTGAGTCGTTTATCAGGGCCCATTCAGCAGCAGCAGTCTCTTTCCAGTACAGTCCTTGGTATGGCTAAATTCCATTGTCCCTTTTTCAGCAGTCAAAAATCCATGATAAATTCTGTACAACACTGTAGTTAATATAACAGCAGCACCAGATATTATATTAATTCATTTGCTAAAAGCTGTTTGCAATTATCTCTCTATTGACAATATTTTACCAAAAGTAAATCAATGTACATCTCTAAATATCAGAAATGTATACTTTGATAACTACATTATTGTACAAGAATTCTGACATGCAGGTCATGCTATTGGGCTTGGCTATATACAGAACATGTTACATGGTCAACAATAAATTTAATTTCTTTTCCTAACAAAAATAAAACACGACAGTCAGGTATTATTCAACAATTTCAAGGATCACTTAAGATTTCAGTCATTATGGTCTTCCCCATGTAGTTCTAAAACTCTACAGTTTAAGGGTAATTTTTCCTCACCAGCCCAGAACCTCAAATTTGCCATTGCATTTGTCCTGTTGCATAAACAGAGGTTAGTATGGAATGAAAAAGCCACTAGAGGAGATACAGTTTCAAAATTGTAATGAATGCTGGTTGCTGGGAGGAAGATTGATGCAATAGGCAACCGGTCAGTGCTGAAAAGCCATTCAAAAAACCTTAGGAGTGCACACGAGTTAGTCTAGATGATACTAACTGCACTTGAAAAATGGGTATATTTCTATCTATACATGGATGTATAGTCCATACAAAAAAAAGAGAAAAGGAGAAAAAGTGTTCTTAGTTCACCTTAAAAGAGGGGGGCATATTAACAGTATCTCTGTGCTTTAATGGAGACAGATGGAGAATACAAGGAGACAGGTTGCAAAACAGACAGACAAACAACACATAGGACAAAGCACCTCAAAAAACATTGAATGAAGAAATTTTTGAAGCCCACTAGCCAGAGGTATAAGGCTGGTCAAAAACCCGACTTGAGAACTACTACCCTCTTACAATGGTAAAAAAAAAAAAAAAAGCCCCCGATAATTGTTTCAATTTTACTTGGTACTCGGCTTCTGAAAATGTTGAAGAACCCTGGAGTAAAGAAAATACTACAGTACCAAGCAGCACTTGCTAGCTTAGAATTGCAAGTCTGGATGGCGTTTACCTTTCTTGCATGTTTTGTGCCTTCCCCAAGCCATTAAGAAAGAGATCTGGCTTCTGCTTGCGTGTAACCAGTAATGACAACCTCTTTGCAGTTATCTGTGTGCAAACAACCGGAGACATCAGAACTCTGATACAGCAATCCAGCACCGAAATAAGTTAATCGCAAAATAAAGTCGTTTATAAACAAGTAGATAGTTAAAAAAATAAAGGAAAAAGTTAAACACAGAAAAACAATCCCACATGCAGACCAGTTTATCAGTGCTTTCATTTCAGCAGGATGGTAACAAAGTGAGAACATACATCCAGAGCCCTCTGTGGTCTCCACGATCCGCAACACTGCTTGTCAGGTGATGGAGACAGGATGGTCCATGCAAATGAGCAGACCCTTCAGAGCAGACATCTTCAGAATGGATTAGAGTCACAAGAAATGGAGGTTCAATGGAGTGACTGATAATTACTTGGAAGCACATTATTTTAAGTAAATCTCCCTGAAAATATGCTTATTTATTGAATATATGGACAAAAGCATCCACTAACTGTCCTTTTATTGCCACAGGAAAGTAGGACAATATAGTAGATAAAAGAAGAAATGCTACCTGAAGTAATCTTTAAAAGCCAAGGCAAAAATCTTCAGGTACCCAAGTGGCTTTTCTTACTACTGAGAGTTGTATCATGCAGGAGTTAGACCATATTGGTGGAGCCTATGCTTAATGCTACATTTATTTCCAGTATGTGGTAAACAGTATTTGATTTAATACTATGTAGCCGATTGATGCCATCTGGTTTACAAGATGGAAGGGATGGGAGACCGAGAGCGCCTTAGAGGACAAGGTGAGCTGTAGGGTGATGTTACTGGAGACAGTCGCAGAGCATTGCCTGTCAAGCCAGCTATGTTGTTTAAACTTCGAGATTTTTCATAGCCTTGTATGAGAAAATGCACAGACATCAGTTGAATTCAGCCAAAAAAATAGACAAAGACAAACAGTACAATGTAATGTAACCCAAGGAGCTATCAGGGACTCAGAGGGAATCTGCCTGCAAAAGAACTCAGTGCTGAGACACATTACTACCAAAAGATACTAATAAATAAAATTATTTACAAATTAATGCATCCACTTTTTCCCAAAAAATTAAACAGACCACCAGACAAGAGGTCTGACCTGCTATTCCACATCCCATCTTGCACTTAGTATCACACTGTGGGCTTCAGCGTGGTTGCACAGAGAGCAAGAGAAGTGATCCCACCAGAGTGACTGAGCTATCTGGCTAAGCATAATCAAAAACCCATTAAGACAGACTACAGAAACTGTCAGAATTACATAAGCTCTGCTGCATTCAATTCCAAATAAAGTAAAATTTTTTTCTTTAAAATAAATAAACCAGAAACCAGATAAATTTTATATAGTATGTGCAAATCAGTTTTGCAGAGGACTGAATGATAATATAGAAGCTTTATCTTCAAAAATATTAACCCTTAGGCTTTGCTTCTAATTTTGAAGTCTAAGAAGACAGCAAAGTTTGACGTACTTGTAAATGCCGCCTCAATGGCAAATGTAAAACATTGAATTTGTGCTTCTTTTCCAGATGATTTGAATAAAAGCAACAGTATTAATCCATATAGGCAAGTAGTAAATTATTAATCATTAAATGAGGCAACCACATGATGATTCACAATTTGAAGGGAACATTGCACTTGCAGATATTTCTGTTCACACACACTGTGAGCTCTAGCTACCTACTTTTTGCTACTGTGGATTGTTTTCACTTTGTAGAGGCTATGCTGTAAACCAACAAAAAACCATTGCTATTCACTGCATCTCTATCTTCATATTCAGCTATTTTCAGCAGCTGCTGAACAACCCCATTTGTTAGGAAACAGACCTGCTTGTTGGCCTGAAGGTACCAGCAAGGAAATACAAAAAAGATTAAGCCAGGCAGGACCTTGCTCCTGAAGTACATGGGTACATGCTTCAGTGCAAGCATCAGAAGTCTCACTGATTTCAGTGGTACTCCTTATTTCCTTGAAGACAAGTATTTGTCAGGTTAAAATATTCAGGTCTAAATTGCTTATAGGGAAATAATGAGACTTTTTTCCCCAGAAACTTTAAAATACCAATGACAGTAAAGCTAAACACCACATGGAATGTCAGCAAACTTTTTTTTTTTTTTTCCTGATTAAAACAGTTACTGGCTCCAATTCCAGGTCTCTAGGTAACAGACAATTAATGACATCTTTAGGAAAAATCATATCTTAGGCTCTCCGCTCACAACAATTAACACTTTTTTTACCCTGGAATCTGCATACCATAAAACTATATTTAAAGCAAATGTACAACCTCATGTCTGCTAAAACATTGTGCAATGTTCTCTCCAGATGGCAAGGGCAGGCTAGACTGTGATGCTACACAGAATTCTGACACATTTCTGAAACAGCCTCCAGTTTCTGAGTTTCTATCAGTATTTACCCAGACTAGAAATAATTATTTTTGAAAAGGGAATTAAAGAGAAGCACAATGCTAGTGTATACATTTAAACTCCCTGTAAACATAAAGCTTATTAAAAATAAATCAAAATAATCAGGTAGCTTTTTCACATAGAAACTAGGAAAGTAGTTTTTAAGATTATTTTCTTGCTACTCTTCTAATGATAAAAGGAAAGAACTGAGAGAGGAAGATGGTAAAGATCATAAATAAAGTAGAAACTCCTAAAAAATGAAAACCAGATACACAAGATGAATAGTGAGAGATGCATGATCCAAAACCAGTACTTTTCAGGTATTTTAGTGGATCAGCTCTGAATCAGTATCATCTTGGAGATGGAGATGCAAAAAAGCTCAGAATAAATTATAATTGAACAACCAAGAATCAACCAAGGAACAAACCAAACAAGAAGAATGTACCAAAAGAAGGAAAGAAAGAAAGGGTAAAATAAAATGTAAAAGTAGTAGACTTGATGTGTGAATGACATTCAAGCATTCAAACCCATTTGTATATTACTTGAAGATATTTTCTGCTTATGGATTAACTTCCCCACTCTGTATAAAATACATTCCAAAGCCAGTGACTAAAACATTTCAGCCTCAACTAAGATTATCATCAGAGCCAGGCAAATAGCATATTTCTCATCAAAAAACTGTCCATTCTGACCTCAAGCCCCAGTTTTCTAGTAAAAACTACAAAACCTACAAAAACTACAAAAAAAATTTATTTTAAATCTAGATTAACAAATCAAAATGTTCCAGGATAAAATAGTCTTTACTGTTATATAAATATGTCTTTAGTAGCTGATGGGTAACTTCTTTTATTATTTCTGATCTGCTCTAATCATGGTTACCACCATAACTTGCTGAGTGAAGTCAAAAAGCTGATCATGCAAGATGCCATGGTACTCTACCTTATCCAGATGTTCTTGACCTCCTCAAAGACTCTTAGCATTAGAGATATTTTAAATAATCCTAGTTGTTGAGAAGACAGTGAAATATATGCTCAGTGAAAAATGCCAGTAAATTTGTGCAAAAACATGCTTGCAATGATTTTTCATTTAAGCTAAACCTTATATACAGGAGTACGTAAAATGCCCGAGCATAGAGTCATACTCCACAAGTGCCATACATGTGGAACTGGTTGCATATCTGCCTTCACAGGTTTAGCCTACTGAGCTTATGCTTTGAAGTGCAAAAAGAGCATTGGCAGAACAACCCAAGAGAATTCCTTTAGATATATGGCTGCTGGGACAGCTATGTTTGCTATACACCAAGAAAGTTTGAAAAAAAAATAATAAAAAAAAAAGGCAGAAAAATCTTGGACAAAAATATTTGTCCAGTGCCACATGGCTACTTCAGATGATCTCTGAGGTGAACAACTACACTTCACTCAGGAATGCAAAATCTGTCTGAATGTTACAAGTCAGAGGAATATAATTTGCTAAGAAACAAAAGCAGTTCTTATCTAAGGAAATGGGAAGACTACCACAGGCATGCTGATCTTAGGGCTGTTTCCTGATGCTAGGTTTGCAGCCACAGGCAGATGTGGCCTACTGGGGTAGAAACAATCAGTCATGTGGGAGATACAAGCACAAAACAGTTTTGCAAACTCCACCTGGGCACTCCCATCCTACTGAGAAGCAAGTAATCAGATTTGAGGAGGCTAAATAACTAGAAAGGCATTTTTAACACCTTGCAAGGTCAAGCATTGTTTTACTACATAGCTGAATTACAGCTGGGGGTAATCTTTTAGTATCAGGCGGTAATCTTTTAGTATCAGTGGTGTACTGCCAAGGAATAAAAATATTTTTTGGCATTATAGGCTCAAAATTTTGTTTGAAAGAAATCTAAATAGCATCTCAGGATATGCCTTTTTGTGTTCAGAAATGTTGCTTACTTCTGACATGTCAACCTTTAAAGTGTATTCAGCTGTCAATTTTATTAAGAGAGGACCACAGTTATAATATGATTAATGTGTCTTTTAGAATGACAAGTTATATTGAGTGATGAGGGGTTGAATGAGCAAGGTCTGAATTGCAGGCTTTTCCACTAGAGATTATGGACAAATGAAGACACAAGTGAAATGAAGGTCCAACATCAAGCACGTTTTTTGAGGACTAAAGGGGATGAGTGTTTCTAAAAGGAAAAGAATGACTAGGAGTAAAAGAAAAAAAGGTACATTGTGAGTACAGTCTTTCCTCTTAGAGCATTGTGCACATCATTTTACTCTAAGATTGTTTTTCACAAGCACATTGCTGAGTAACCTTTTATGATCTAATGAAAGAAGTCCATACCTTTCCTGATCCCTCCATCAGTAGCACACGTGTAATCACCTGTTGTCAGTAGGAAACATGTTCCCCCTCTTCTGTTTTTGTCTCTTGTACTAGAACGTCTGATGGGAGGGAGCCTTTCACCAGGTGAGAGTGGCTGCTCACTTCCTGCACTGTCTTCACCTGATAACACTGGTTAAAGCACCATGCCCATTTACAGACAATAATGAATGAGGAAATGAGACATCACAAAGAGCTTACGCTGAATGCCAGATATTCCCATCACTCAAAAAGTAGATATAAAGTAAATCATTAGAAGAAAACAAGATTGCAATTCATCATTAATCAGTACAAAATGGCAAAAGATATACGTTTTGTTCAAGAATAAATGATCTTTCAACTTTTCTGTTCTTATTCTAAAGATTGTATAAAATTAGATTAAACTAACATGAACTAAGAAATAGTCAAACCAAGGCTCAGTTATTCACCTACTCTGGACTGTAACTTGTCAGAATACAGTCAGCCTTGGATATTTCAAACACTTATTTACTATTTTGGCTATCATTTTTGCTAAAGAAGAGGTTGTGTTAGGCATTTTTGTTTAGAATATATAGTTTAATGTTTTAAAGACAAGCCCTCACCCAGGAGGATTATATTTTCAATATTTGGCACTGTACACTGTTTATTAACACACTTAGCTTTCAATTCCATATTTATTACACTTGCACTGCTTGTCATCATAAGTACCCAACTTTAAACGCTGTCTTGGTCTCTTTACTTTATTTTGTCAAATGGCAAAACTTGTACCTCTCCTGATTTGTCACTCCCAAAGGACTCTCTTTTAAAATTATCTACCATTTCAAATTCACTTTGGCAACACTTCAGGAAAAAAAAATCTCTTCTTACTACAGCACATAATTTCAGCTTTACCTTTGCATATAAACCTGAGCATGTTTTTTTGCTGAACTGGGAATGCAAAGGGCAGAATTCAGCCTTGAAGTTTTGCACATAATTCATAGTGACTCTAATAACATTCTCTACCAGAAATAAAGCTACAGTGTGTGATGTAAGCAGTGGCACTACTGACAAGGAAGATAACACTTTAAAATGGCTCCTTCTTGCATGTCTGCTTTCTCTCTAACTTCAAGGATTATAACCCCTTGTAAATAAGCTGTAGACACAAAAAAAAAAAAAAAGTGTCTCTTAGTGAGAGATATAGTGATCACACTGAGCCATCTCCACTCAGAATACCTTTGGTAGAACCTGATGGCATGAAAAAGCTGTTATCACCCACAATTTAGAGATGCTATCTCAAAGTGGGTATCAGTCAAAGCACTGAAAACCTAACTATATTTTACTGTCAGTCAGAGTCTTTTCAAGCATTTCCATCCTTTTAAATACATTTAAGGTGTTCAAAAAACTGTATTAATTTGTGAACAGTAACTCGGAGTGTGAAACCGAGCTTCTTTGAACATAAAGCTATTCAGTAACAGAGCAAAAGACCGAAGAAGGATATTGTTCAGAGATGGATTTTCCAGACTCTTCTTTTTAAAATCTATATTTCAATTACTGAATTACACCAGTCATTAGTGGTTTTCCTCTTATTATTCTTTAGCAGCTTTACAGCTGGAGTCTCATGACTGGTATGTGAGCTTTTAAATAGATTGTGTTTGGCTTAAGAATAAATACACTTAAGAAACAAAAAAAATATTCTTGCTGCTAAACTATTTAATTATACTGAGATGTAAAATTTACTCTTTAATTGCAACAGATTTGGAACATGGAGCAATGGCTTGGAGGGACTGAGGCTGTCATTTGATATGCAATTTCATTGAGTAAAGCACAAAATACTCCTTATTCATCATTTGGAAATCTAACAAATAAGGTAATAGAAATCACAAAAATCAATTGTAATAGCAATGATGGTGCTAAGGGCTGTCATTTTCTTTTTTCTTGACAAGATTTACATCAGCTATGCTAGTATAATTTAATGAATAGTAAATATCATGCAATGTCTCATCTAACACAGATGAAGGAGATTCTTTTAGCCAGGGAAGCAGAATGCCAAATGGAAAGAAAACTAGAAAGAAAATTTCTTCCTATTTCCTTTGAGTGCTGGGCTTTGGATGTAAAGCACCTGCTCCTTTTAAATGACTGCTTCTTTGTAGGATCTTGCTTAACAGGCCACGATGTGGCACAGGCAAAGCTGACACAAGAGACAGACACTGAGGCAAAACACCATGGAGTCCAACAGGGTGGGACACGGTGGCTGCTCAAATAGTCACAGTCATGCAGAAAAACAAGAAACATCCATACAACGCAACAAACAACAGGCAAAAGAAAAGGTTGATATCATCAGCAGGAAAGCATTCTCAACAGAGCAAGCAAAACTGTATAGACCAGCTACATAGAGGTTTGGGAACATCACTATACCTATTTTTGTCCTCTATGAGACTGACACACGCAAATGTTGGAGGGGAGAAGGGTGGGAGCTACATCTTCTCCTGGCAGAAAGACTGGCTGCTTTCTGACCCCTACCAAACATACTGGTCTATAAAGTGTTTTCAGAGGACATGCATTTCCAGTGGGGTCCTACCTGATGATCTGTTGTGTTCCATCAGCTGGTTGTCCTTGCCCAGGCAGATGTCTCCCTGTGTGCTATTGCAGGCCATGTTCAAGTCTGTCTTGCAGAAGGTGGGTGAGCTGGCTTGAGGAGCAGGAGGGATGTGCTTCTTTCGCTTCCTTGGCAGTTTCTGCTTTGCCATGGCCAGGGAGTAGTACATCCCAAAATTGTTAACTATCACAGGCACGGGCATGGCTATGGTGAGCACTCCCGCCAGCGCACACAGGGCTCCCACCAGCATGCCTGACCAAGTCCGTGGATACATATCCCCATATCCCAGGGTGGTCATGGTGACTACAGCCCACCAGAAGCCGATAGGGATGTTTTTGAACTGTGTGTGTTCACTCGCTGACGGGTCATTAGGCTGGGCTCCCACCCGCTCTGCGTAGTAGATCATAGTGGCAAATATCAAAACACCAAGTGCCAGGAATATTATCAGCAGCAGAAATTCATTGGTGCTGGCTCGCAGAGTGTGGCCCAGCACCCTGAGGCCCACGAAGTGCCGGGTGAGCTTGAAAATCCGGAGGATCCTGACGAACCTTACCACCCTGAGGAAACCAAGCACGTCCTTAGCAGCTTTGGAGGAGAGCCCACTCAGGCCCACTTCTAGGTAAAAGGGCAGGATGGCCACAAAGTCAATGATATTCAAGAGGTTTTTGACGAATTCAAGTTTGTTGGGAGAAAAAATAACACGTACTAAAAATTCAAATGTAAACCATACCACGCAGACTCCTTCCACGTATGTCAGTGCAGGATCTGTCTCAATCTCATACTGTAACACAGCTTCTGTCCCGTTGATGACCTGCTCAGTTTTGTTTATAATAGTGTTGAAAGCCTCATGTGTTTCCAGGCAGAAGGTTGTGATTGAAACTAAGATGAAGAATAAAGAGGCAAAAGCGATGAACTGAAACACAAAGAGATAAAAGAGACATCAGAACCACACAGGTCTTCACATTAATACAAATGATGTCTGCGTTGATAGTAAAACTTTTACTCATTCTTCCCCAAATGGCTGACAAATTCATACACATAAAAATTTCACCTAGACCAGAGAAGAGCAGCAGGTTAGGAGTCCAGGAGCAGGAAAAGTCTTGGCAAGGGATTTGACAATCAATGACAAAAATCCAACTCATTAAGAAAGTGGCAACAAACTCTTTCATCTGTACTAAACTGTCTGAATTTGATTCAGTGGTCAAGATTCCTTTCAAGCAGTCCCCATACACACCAACCACAGCAGTACTTACACATGTCCAGCTCTCACACAGTGGAATGTGTGGCCCCACCCTAACAGTCTTGAGATTATGGTTCAGAACTCACACCTGTCCTGAACAGCACCTCACAGGGATCTAGGAGCAGATCCAAACTCTAAGTTTCCTTTAGATTTTCAATGATTTACAAATACAGGATATTTACTGATAGAAAATGCCTTCTGTGTTACAGGTAGAGTTGGTTGCATAGCCTATTATGTTTGTAGTCATCCATCACTGATTCTCTCGGGCATCACTAAAAGTAAGCTTTGCAGAACCTCACACACTATGGTGGCAGATTTGTCCCATTCTTAGGATCCACAATCCTGCTAACCAGGTTACAAATTCAGGGCAATCCAAACAAAAAGGGAAATACAAATTCAGTTCTAATAGAGGCACATGAATTGATAAAATACAGGTAAATTCCCTGAAAACAGCCATCACAAAAGATTATTTAGGACTTAAAAAGTACAGACTGACTGATCTTCAACTCAGCCATCACAGTCAAGCATTGAATAACAGAGATCATCCAGGACAGGATCTCAAAAATTAACACTGAGCCAAACAGCTAGAGCAGGAGACAGATTTTCTTACACTGAGGAATATACACCAAATGAAAAGGTGTTTTGAGGTCAGCTGCTCCTTTGCTACAATAGTCAACTTCTTTTCAATGACATTACAACCATATTAGCTAGCATTGAAACAGCAGTGGTGTGGTACATAAATAAGAATAGCTTTTATGTTGAATTTGCGTCTTAATAAACATTTTATATCCAATATTATCCTGGGGTAAAAAAGCCTTTCGGAGACATGAAGATTTTTGAAAGTGTTAGGGGCCCAAGGAGCAAAAAGATGCCGAAACAGGTTAAAAATATGTGGTATCTAGCTGCCACACTGAAACCTTGAATGCCACTGGAGAAATTCTAGTTCAAGGCAGAAAAAATAGCAGCCATAAGCCACTTTAATCCAGGATACACCATTGTGGAAAAACTAGTTTTGTGTACTTCAAATATCAATGACTGAATTTAGTATTAGCATTCATATTTAGTGTTTTGTGCCACAGGAACTTATTTGGGCTCATACAATACGGAATGCTGGTATTTTTCTAACATGGAACACTTGTTAGACAATAAAATATTGTCTCCACAACCTGTAAAGAGAATTCCTTTTATTCTGGAAACAAGCTTAAATTTGCAGTGCAGGTCGGCAAATTTATTACATTCAGATTCACGAGATGGATCTATGAAAAATACCATATAACTACCGATATCAGATATTTGCAGGTTATTTATGGCTTCCTTTCCCCAGTCAAGGAAAGAAAAGTTATTACACCATACCCTACAATTGCAAACACTCTAAATCTGTTACTTTTCAAAAAGTACTGACTCAGAGACTGAACTGAACACTTATCATCCAGTCTGGACTTCTAGCCACAAGCTAAGCTAGCAATCTTACACTCTCTGATTTTTACTGAACAGGCTTTTCTGCCTTTGCCTTAACTACAAAACTGCTGCATGCTCATAGCTCACAGCACCTGACACCAACATACACAAAAGAGCCTCAGTCTTGTGTGAAACAACTAGAGTCAGCAAATAAAACCACATTTATAAAACCTAAGTGAACTAATCTCAGCAGATCTTTGCAAAACTTCTCCACAAGAAGGATAGAGAATGTATCATACTCTAAGCCACTGCTGGGCTAAGAATGACCCTTGGGTGATCTCCTAGAGCATCCTCCAGAATCGTTCTACATAGTCAAGGACGGAAAAAGCAAACAAATCTTTGGAGGCTGTCACTGAAGCTAGGTCAGCACTGTAGTTTGTAATTTGGGAGGGAACTTTTGACAGACAAAATACTGGGCAACTTTTTCAACAGCAACACTGGTGATTTCAGACAACAGTGGTTTTTTTTTTTTTGTCTGAAAATAAAAGAAAACTACATTCAGCTAACCAAAGTAAGATTTACCAACAACTAAATAATTTGCCAACAACTCAGATATAACAAGGATTAACTGTGCATTAAGCAGTGCAATGAACCCAACAGTATGTAAATAATTACCACTTTTTCTGGACTGTATTTCAGAGTCCATTCAGGTTCAGAAACCTTCTAAAAATGCCAAATACCAAGAGAATAACTATAGGTAGAACTGCCTGACAAGCTATTTATTACTGCTTTGCTTAACATTGACACTGCATTGACATTGGACTTGGTAAGGCAGACTGAAATTTTTAGCTGTGCACCTACATTCAGTGTTTTATTATCCCTAAAGGAAGAAGACATTCAGTCATGCCCAAAATCTGTCCTAAAGAAAATCATGTTTCAGAGGTTAGAACAAAGACAAGAAAACACTATCAATCTGGTGACAGATTTCTTGGTAACCCTGCAAAAAGCACTCATAGAAATGTAAGACAATAAGATGTACACATTTCGCTATGCATATGCATGCCATCACTGATTTTGAGCAAAGACACACATTCCTTTTATCTCTCATTGCATTTGGTCTTAAACTGCCAGCTCCTTGGATCAGGACAGAGCTTGCACAGCACCTAGCAAGATGAAGCTTCACACAAAGAGACCTACAAAGTTATTGCAAAAATCAGAGGATTCAGAGAACATGCAAGAAGCAAATGCAAAGGCAGGAACATTCTATCAGTCAAACAAAAAATGCTTAGGGATTAACCTTATATTAATAAAGGTGCTTTGTTAGTATTGTGTTACATATCAGGCAATGTGTTGAAAAGTTTTTCATACACAACTGTAATGAAGTCATGTGTTAGCCATATTTTATGCTTTCCTTCTTCTTCATCCTAATTCCAGCTTCTCTAAACTAATTAGCCTCTAAAATACATAAATTTTTGTCATGTGGGCAAGCACAACATTTCAGAAAAAGAACAGATTCGAACTCATAGATTCTCTGGTGGATGTGACCAACCAAGTCCTCTTCCTCAGTCCTGCAAACTTTCTGTTTGTTTCCTTTTTACTTTTATGAAGCATGAAAATCTAAAAGGAGTTAGCCTGATCATTATTTCAGAAAGGTTATAGCAAGAGGCAATTTTCTGTTTGAATCATTAGCAACCTTTTACTGTGAAAAGTTTTGAAAACTTTGGTTTTGACTAGCTGCAAGACAAGCTCAGCCTTGGTATAGAGCAAAACATCTTATTCACCCCCTTTTTCAGACCAAAGATTGCAGCCCTAAAGCATTTTTTGAGAGTCTTCAAAAAAAAAAAAAAACAACTGGAGAAAACTTTTCAAATAATATTCAAGTGATATTCAGTCATTGATATTGACATCATTGATATTCATCAATATTCAATCATGATCTTTTCTTCATTTCTTAAAAAGGGTTGGTTTTTTTGTTTTTTTTAAAAGTAATTGCTTTTTGTATGTTTCAATGGACATTTTAAAAAAATTAACTTTCTTCATTTAGATTTTCTTTTTTTTTCCTGAAGGAACCATCTTTCTAACTGACAGAATCATTGTAGACACACTCTGGGGCCACCATTTTTTGTATCGTGTATTTGTTGTATTGTGTATTTGGGGCCACCATTCATTAGTAGGTTTATGGTTTGATTTGTGATTTGGTGGTTTTCCTTGGTGCTGTTTTTCCTTTTGTCTCCGCCTTTTCCCAGTTATTTCGTCATCTAGTTTCTATTTCTCCAAACTTTACCCGTTTATTGAAACTGTTTTTCCTCCCTTGGAAGTTTATTGGTTCACTACTGTTATTCCCGCCTAGGTTTTTCACTCCCAACTCTCCCGATTTGTTGAAAGATGTGACTTTCCCTGACTTTCTCCCGAGATACAAGTCTTTGTTTGCCCCTTGAACGGGGCCCAGGAGAGGAAAAAGGGGAAGTTTGCCATCAAATAAAGTTTCCCTGGGACCCATGTGCGCTGTGTGTGTTTTATATTGTGCCGAAACAATTGACAACTGGGATTCAATGGAGCTCCAGAGGGAAAAACTGCCGCCCCCCTCTCTTGTCATCAGCTAGCCGGGGAAAGAGAAGCGGCAACCATTTTTGAAATTGCAATTAACATAAATTGAATTAATAAAAAGTTCAGTCCATTTCTGCCAGAAGAGAGCAGTTAAAAGTTACAAATATATTCAGTATGTAATATACAGCACGTAGAGCATTCCTCATGAAGCGGTTAAAGCTCTCAGCAGGCTGCTGATTCCCTCTGCTCACAGTCTGAAGGCAGTGTGCACCCAATTTTGTTCTTGTGTGTCAGCATCACATGTTCAGACAGTAGAGATTCCATCTCTCAGCTTGTCTAGCTGACAGGACCACCAGCCAAGCTCTGTTGCTAAGTTCTACTAATGTTCACAGTAAGTGGATTAATCATCTAGAACTCAATTTTCAATGAAGCACATAAATCTAGAGGGTGAGGTGCCTGCAGATAACTTCTTGGAAGTAGAAAACTTTATGATTCTTACTTTGAATACAGTGTTTCACGGGGGACTGAGTAGCTCAGAGTTTAAAGCAATTTCAAAATTGACAACCAATTCTAGAACACCAAATTGAGCAGTCTGTGGATTAGCTGAACTTTTGTGAGTCCAAAGTCATGTTTTACCTTGCACATAGCTTCTTAAGCACCTGGAAAAATTAAGATCACAAAAAATTGTGGTGCAAATGACCTGACAACAGTCTTAGCTCATACGCCAT